TGACGCTTGAATCATGTTGAAAAATCGTGACAGTAAAAAGAAACGTGGGTGGCCACTGTAACACATAACTGACCAGAGTGAACACCTTTGATTTGGGACACTTGATGACTAACCCAGCACAACAGAAAGTCTTATAGGCAGTAAAAGGGGGGGAAATCCTACTAATTTAAGAGGATCGATGTATTTAAAACTGTTAATGGGAAACCCATTAAACTGAGCCACAGATCAACAATAATTCAGAGAGAATGTATGTGTGTATTGGGGGGAGGGGGAGTGAACAAAAGTGATCGCTTATGCAAGGGAAACGGCAAATATATTAATTTAATAAACTAAACATCATGAAGGATACATCTATTATTATACTATAAAGCTGGTTAAGTATGGGTGGGGTGGTGTGTGTGTGTGTGTGTGTGGATGGGGGGGGGGGGGTATTAAGCAATGACATTCTTATCCTGTTTTCTCAGCCCACGGCAGGATTTGACTTCTAAACTTTCTAAATAGGAGTCCAACACAATTACCACTCGATTATCGCGGCCCACACAAAAAGAAATTATATGCGACTCTTGCATAGTTAGCACCTTTTTTTGTGAGTAATTGAATTAGAAATTGTCTTTCAATTTTTACACTAAGTAGACCCCTCTGATTTGAGTCAAAATTTTAGATTTCATTTGATTTATATACAGAGACATAATGGAAACAAAACACGATTGTAAGTAAGATATGTACCAACACAATCAGCAACAGCCCGACTTTGGTTTACAATGAATATGTCAGTAACACCAGAATAGAAGTGCTCCACAGAAAGATCAACTCGCAGCGGTAATGAACCTATTAGTGACAGCCTGTGATCTGGTAGAAGTCACCTGATAATATGCCTGTCTTGACGAGGTGTTGTCACACATTGCCGTCCATTTTTGGTGGATCTCCAGTAGTTCCAGTCTGCTGGAAATGATTGGTCAGTCTAAGAATGGAAGTATGATGTCAGGCATTCAAACCTTCCGGCGACGTTTCATTGCGCGTTCTCGTTATAGCTCTATGTCAGAACCATAAAATCGTGATTGGAAGATTAAACTGGTTCTCTAAAATCATCCTTTAATATATATTTCGTCTCAGCATAGATAACCTATAATATAGAATCTATTTAGGTCCACTGCACTGTGGACATAAACTTGTCAAACCAAGCCGACTTTCGCTTAATTTTAACTATTTAATTTTTCGTATAGAACTTGTTCTGTCGAAATAACACACCAGAACATATTTTGCTTAATTTAAGGGAGTGCTCCTTTAAATCGCCAGGGTAAAACAAACTCAAACACGGACTGATTAGAGTAGTTATGGAAATAGGACCACGACTATGATAGCATGGTTAAAATGCTTCTACCAATGCAAATATCTGCGGAAATGTTTAAAGGTTGACACGTACCGGGCTGGGAATTCAAGTTTCCACTTTTATCCACAAGTGTTCAAAATAAAAGTAACTTAAACAACAGTCGACATATTTAATTAAAAAATACCCATGTAAATTAGAAGGGCAATTAGTCATATTCCTGCAGGGTTTTGGTGGCCTAATGGAGAAGTCCAACACATTTTCTCCTTTTGAATTAGCCCCCCCCACCCTTTCAATAACGGTCATAAAATATTCACAATGAATACCACATATATTGACCTCAAGTTTCTTAAATGTTATTGTGCTTGATGACGATAAAAGGGTACTTGTCGAAACGTCATAGAATAAAACCGGTGATTTTTTCCCCTAAAAATTGTGTTCTCCCTACAATAACTTGTATGTTTCCAATTGTTTTCAATTAAAAGTGATGTTGCCTGTTGATGTGCATTGTGTTTCATCGACGCCGTGACCGTAATGCACTCTTATATTCAGCCAACCGTTGTTGTTCTTTTGACTGATACAGGTACACGTGCATTCTTAGCTTTGCAGTTTTGGTGTATAGAATGTTGGATTGACATGAAATGAAATGGGGTTTAACGTCCTACTGTTCTGCTCCGAATTGGGCTAATGAAGACGGGTATTTTGCCTCCTATATCGAATTCTATCTATCAAGGGATCTTTTACGTGCACGCCAATGTGTACACGAGACCTCGTTTTTTGTCCCATCTGAACATCAAGACAGCTGTTATTGTCAGGCACTCCGTCCTGCATCACTGACAAAGGGGGAACCACGCCGGAAAATCTGGATGAATTTTCTCGGCTAATGCAGGGATCTAACACCCGACCTCAAGGTTAGCGGGCCAGGGTCTTACCCACTTAGCCACCACGACCCCCCTGGATTGACAGTGTTCTTTGAATGCACTTCTTGGTTAATCTTTACTATTGTTTTGACGTACATACAAAGGTGCCCATACATTCTTTGGTGTAGAAAAATATGCGCCCAAGTACCGAGCCAGTGACCTAATTTCTTTTCTTTGTATTACATTACCCCCAATGTTAACATAAAAAAACAGGTCGTCTGCACATGGCGCGTGTCATTAAATACATTGCTCAAGGCCACGTAGAATTAGTGAAGCCTTTGCTAACAAGTTGTAAATTATTTCCTTTGGGTCTTAAAAAAACACGTCAATAGTTCACTAGGTGAACTAAGTTACATACGAAGAAAACGTAAACGAATATTTCATAAACAATTTTTTTATATAAGAAAACATCTTACAAGGATAAAAAACGATAAGTGCATTATCATAACTTTGACATATACCTACAGGACATTAAAGTCTTGTTTCGTTTCTTTCCTGTGTTTTAAATATTGAGGGTGGCGTGTAATTTTGACCATAGTAAGGTATGTCATTGAATCAATTGGCGTGGCTTAGGCTTCACCGTTGTGCATGACACGAGGAGTAATGTCACATGTGCAACCTAGATCAAAAGCATTTTACCAGTTTTCAGCTATGGTCCACGGACCGTTAGATCTGTCGCTCATTCTGCATAAAATCTAATTGGAACCTCCACAATACACACAAATCACAACCTATGGAAAATGTGAAGGAAGGGGGCGAAGGAGGTAGTTCACCTAAAGTGTGAATGTCTCAAAAGTTCGAATTAAGTATACGTGTAAATCAAATGTAAGCCCACGTAAATTAAGTGTGGGTCATATGATATCTAAGCACGAATATATGTAATCAACGATAAATTATGACAATGCCCATTAAAAAATAAATCTCAAACAAGTATTTTAAACACCATAAGAAATATTTTGCTCCGACTGGGCTAATGAAGACGGGCATACGCCATACAGTGTGCTATGAGGGAAATGTTGCCCGAACGGTGGGCACCACAGTCTTGTCTTATGTCGAATTCCAACTGCCAAGGGTTCCTTACGTGCACGCTAATGTGTCGACGGAACCCTGGATTTTATGTCCCATCCGTACGACTATACGCTGTCTCTTGCGAGCCCTCCGTCCTGCACCACTGACAAGGAGGAATCACACCGGAAAATCCCCATGAATTTTCTCGACTAACACCGAATCGAACACGGGACTTCCGGGTTAGCTACGTGTAGCTAACGTCTTACGCACTGAGACACCGTAACTCCCAACTGTAGATTAACAATCAAAAAAAATAAAACGCATTATTTTAATCAGACTACGTAAGTAGATTACATGACGTACTAACATCAAAGGACAGATAATTCAGACAAAACATTACACACGTGAGGTGAATTATGACTAGAATTTTATATAAAAAAAAACATTTATTCTATATACAAATAACATTAGAAGGTAAACTTACATGTTTAACGTGAACTAGGACGCAACAACAACACTTAAAATGAAAGCACACAACGCCATTTTTGACACTATTTACAAATACTTCATTATAAAGGTGAAATAGTAAAAACATGTGAGTTAGTTTTTAATAGCACCGAACCCTATGCCTCTATTTACTATACATTTTATTAAAGGCGCGACAGGTCGTTGATATATATATATATTTTTGAAAAATGAGCTGGCGCGTAACACAAAGATAATGTTACTATTAATTATGGAAGCCGATAGGCACGCCTTCGCGAGATTAAAACTGTTTGTCGTAGTTTCTTGGCTTTGCATTCGAACTTAATTAACGCGAAAACAAAAAGTACGAAGGGGTACTTATCGCCTTCCATAATTACAAACCAATAACTTTAAGTGACTAAAACTTAAGTTAAGAATTCGTGATTTTTGAAGAACAAGACTTTTTACAGTGTATGGTTCTGCAAAGGAAGCCATCGCTAGAAATGATAGTTGGCTATAGTCCCGATTATTTCACAAAACGAATTGCGCTCAAAGCGATATCGTAGACACTTTGATATCGGCTCCCTTTATCATCTAGGACAATTTCATGTAAATAATATTCTGCTGCATTCAAGTAGTTATTGTAGTTATTAGCCCAGGAACTTTCAAGAAGGAAGTTCCAAGAATGAAGTTCCAAATAACATGTTTACGTCTTGACAAATGGGTCTACCTCTAATGATGAGAGCAAACATGTCAACATTGTTAACTAAATGCAAATAATATCTTTGGCTTTCCGGCTTAAAGATGGAGTATCTCCTATTATATTTCAATCTTGATAAAAAAAAAATACAAAAAGCCTAACTACAAAAATGGCGAAGCAATGATGGCGGCGTGTTATTAAATATATATGTTTTACATAATACAATAAATACATTTTGTGTGACATACAAGTAATACATGATATTTTACAATGAAATATAATACAAATGGTCTGAGAGGATGAGATATAATATAAATGATAAATATTCGGGTCGAAACAATGATGGCGGCATACTATTATTATTTTACATATTATTATGGTATTTGTCATGTGTAAGATGTGCATGATGATATACAGTAGAACATAATGTAAAATATCTACAATAAAGAACATGATACCACAATGATTGGTGTATTATGGTACAGACCTTTTCTACACTGATTTTTCATTATCAGTTAAAACAAATATATATATATATATATATATATATATATATATATATATATATATATATATATATACGATAACATACAAGACTAGCAGAACAATTACACCCAAATTATTGATATTCAAACTCGATCTGCTTCTAATCGGTATCACGGTGGGACTTTTATAAACCGTCGAGATTCAATAAATAAATCGAAAATTACAAAAATACATGTGTTTATTCGGTTACCCGACCGGCCATATTGTTTGAAGCCGAAATCTCAGACCCTTAACTCTTCTCTCATTTCCAAGCCCGGTTACTCGCTTTTCTGTGGACAAAGAACCCTAAATACACAGTAATTAAGTCAGAAATCCTAGGAAACAGATAATACAAACCCCACGAAAACAAAATTAAAAAGATTTTATGGGCCAAGTAACCGTAAACACGGGTATTTCTTTTTCTTGGCCTAAAGCAAAATATGTGGAATACATGTTGTTTCTTAGGCACCCCTAGCGCAAATTTCATTACAATATGAAAAGAATGTGGCAGTTAATAAGAAATCACAATACGAAATTGGTCTGGCAGTAATCGATTATATATCGATTGTTAATATAAAATCACAATACCAATTGGTGTAGCAATGATTGTTCATATTATATCGACTGTTCATATATATTAACAGATTCGTAGACATTGTGTATACAGTCACCAATGATTAGAAAATATATTTTATTTACATGTAGGCCCTTGCAAACAAACCGGATTCAAAATTTGAAAACTTCCAAACCTTGTCGCATCACCTGGCATGCGCGAATATATTTGATATCGCGAGAGTTTGTATTTATTTCATTAACAATGGCCTCCTTTACAGCCAAACAGTATTCTCGGATGGCCGTAAGCGACAATTCAGTAAAATTGCAGGGAGGATTGCGAATTAGCTATTCCGTCCCACCAAGAAATAACCCCCTCATATCAGGCTTATAATATGACATTATCAGAGTCATGTTATATTTTTGAGAATCATTTGGTTTCAATAGTCAATAACCAAAATTATGGTCGTCCCCTTTCGCTAAATCGAAATTTTAGGGGAGTGATAATTTTGTTGATTATCCGCATTTCACATTTCATGTCTTCACTATGACAATATTCAATGTCGAAATTCTGCAACACCTGAAAAATAAAGAACGAAATATTTTATTATTTTTTTTACAAAAACATTAGCAATGGAGAGCAGGGCTCCCGTTATATTTCTAGTTTGTTTAGTACTTCTGGGTGATCGAGACATTTCTTTATAAGGAACGTTTCAGTAATGTACAGGTTGTGATTGGTCGACTCCAGTTTAATCTAACAATAAAAGTGTTATCCCATTAGTCAAATGTAAATATGACAGACATAAGTCATATGAGTTCTATACATTGAAAAACAATGTTACATTTCCCATTTTGCTAAACATATCTTTGAGAACATTAATGTATCTTAAATCTATTTTAATTTACCCAATTATTTCTCCTGTAAGATACGCGTTGAATTAAACAGACACTGGCATGAGTGACATATTCTAAAAACATATAGAGTAAAACTCTTTACAATCCCTGGCCCCTGGGTTATAGAACCTTATTAAACCAACCACTGGCTATTACGTCAGATATAATTTAGACGAAGCATTGAAGTCTAACAATGGAGGGATTAAGTATTGGTCATTGACCAATCTCTATAAAGCGAACTATTGTTTTAGATTTCAACTTAGAAGCCATATTTTACACTTTAATTGAAAATGTGCCATAATTGTCTATTACATATTTTGTAGAACTGTATTTCAAAGCGAGAGTGAGCTATGATTTAGAACGGATCGGATCTCTCTTTCTTGTAAATATTTGTTGAATTATCTATGTTTAATAAATCACATAGAAGTTGCTTAAACTCGGTCATAATTTAATAAGAGCAGAAATAACGTAGTCACAAGAGCAATGTAAAGCACGGGCTCCCGTTCTTTTCCTAGTTTGTTTAGTATTGCTGGGTGATCGAGGCATTTCTTTATAAGGAACGTTTCAGTAATGCACAGGTTGTGATTGGTCGACTCCAGTTTAATCTACCAATAAAACTGTTATCCCATTAGTCAAATATACTTTTATATTCTTACCTTTATCAAACAGAGAGACGCTTCCTGTTCGGCTACACGTCGTCCAGGGCAAGATCTAGGACCGAAACCAAACGGAAGTAAGACATGGGGATGTATGGGAGGATATTTACCATTCCTTAACCATCTTTCAGGTATAAATTCATCTGGATTAGGAACATATTGTGCTTGTTTTCCAACCCATTCGTTATGTAAAACCACCATCGTCTGTGGAAATGAATTACAGGTTAAGAATAAAGAAATAGCAAACAGTCAGTATGAATTTTTAAAAGAAAGTAGACCGATTGGATATCATGTAAAATAATGAATGACTGAAAACATGTCGAGTAACGTTCTCGCCATGACGTCACATAGGAAGATTATACTCGATCACAGATGGACGTCAACATGAACGTCTTTTAATAAGATAATAGTAGTATTGAGACTAGCAGTACACCATTGGTAGTGGATGCCATGGAGTCATTCTGTGCTAAACCGTATGTATGGCATATCTAATTAAGATATTTGTAACAAAAGATTATATTTTAGTATCCGCATAGGAAGGATAGATTTCAGGAAATACAATATACTTCAAATTTAAAATCGGATAATTAAATATGCGCAGATGGCATTGATATCAGAATGGCACTATTCGTCGCGTTCAGGTGTGTGACTGTGGTGTTGACGATAATTTCAATGTTTTATCATTGAAAGTAAAGTTAATTGTCCTTCAAATAATAGACCAAACAAACTGTTGTAGGTTAATTAATTCTTTGGAAACGGCATCCATCTTGGGAAATTAATTGACAATGCCAATGAAAGTATATTTCAGGGTTTATCAGAATCCATTCATAAGTAAATTTATTCGGGTTTCACTGGCTTGACCAACCAGATTGCATCATGGCGTTGATGTTGGATTTTGAATTTTGATTTGGTGACTGTAATAATAAAGGTGCTTTCCACGTTTGAAAACCCAATCAATGAGATGTAAAGATTGGTTTGCAAGAACAAGGGGGCTCAACGATACAAAAGTTTCTCCTAATCTATAATCCGCGAAAGAAATCGATATATAAAATATTTACCCCAGCAGGAACGTCATAACCACTAAATGTTGCTTCAGTAGCCAGTGTTCGCAAGTTTCCTGCGGATACTGGGGTTACCCTGTAAAAGAAATCACATTGATAGTGCGTTAACGTCAGTAACATTATTCGAGACTATAGTTATAACTATGGCAATGTATGTAACGTGGAAGAGGAAAGTCCTACTTGGCCTTAAGCTTCGTACACGACAATTTAGCTTCTTGTACCACCCGAACAACTAGACATACACTAGAGAGTGTTAAAAATAGTCAGAACTGGAACCTAACGGTTTGCTTTGAAACGAAACTTATAAACTATAAATTTTATGGCGTGAGTCGTAATATTGCTTAAAGATCCATATTCTTAGTAGATGTCGAGCACGAAATCAAATGAAATGAAATGGGGTTTAACGTCCTACTATTCTGCTCCGAACTGGGCTAATGAAGACGGGCATGTGCCATACAATGTGCTATGAGGCAAATTTTGCCCGGACAGTGGCACTACGGCCTACTTTTATATCGAAATCCAACTTACTGTCAAGGGATCTTTTTACGTGCACTCCAATGTGTACACGGGACCTCGATTTTTCGTCCCATCCGAACAACTAGACAGCTGCAGTCCTTGTCCAGCCCTCCGTCATGCATCACTGACAAGGGGGAACCACGCCGGAAAATCTGGATGGACTTTCTCCGCCAGTGCAGGAATAGAACACACGACCTCCAGGCTAGCGAGCCAGCGTCTTACCCACTTAGCCACCGTGACCCCCGTGTCGAGCACGAAGAAGTCATGCTTACTGCAGGTGAGCAGCTGATATAAGAAGTGAAGGAATGTGTCTTAGAAAGAGTATGCACTATACACGTCACAATATATTTCTAAATGAATTTATAGTTTGTCAGGTTTGGATTTTAGAAACCGAGTGAAATTACTAGCAACAGAATCCGTCCCATACATGACCCCCGCCACTTCATATGACTAAATTTGTGCGGTACATCTACCCACCTTAAAGATTCTTTAATTACAGCTTTTAAATATGGTAATCTTTCAAAGTTCTCTGAAGTTATCTCCCTTGCTTGACCAATGACTTCGTCGATTTCCTGTCTTAAGATGGCCATCTTGCTGGGATTTTTACATAAATTATACATCACAAAGCCAATCAAATTGCTCGTCTGTAAATACATTAATACACCAAAAATAATTCTGTTGTCCATGTTAACTAAATTCTCGTATAAGTCACCGACGGTGAGGGTTTCATCTACTATTCTAAGAATTTAAGATTTTTATACTTTTTAATTATACATTGCCCAGAGTTTTATTAAAGCAAATATGGCATAGACAATTGTCGCCAGACAAATGAGAAACATGTATCGGTACTAACCGTATCTACACCACCGAAGAAAAAATCACCTATCAGCGTAAAAGACTCTTTGTCCGTTAAAGAAGATTTGTTCAGAAAGGTTGGGATATTTGCTTCTTCGTCGTCATCTTCGTGGATTTCTTTGGATTTACAATACTCTATCGCTTCTCTTGCATTTTTAATTGTTACTCTAAAAAGAAGAATTTTACTAATAAAGCATAATTTATTTAATAAATAAATACAGAATTCGTAATTATATTACTACGGACAAAATGGGATTACAAATCCACTACAAAAGGACCATTTTGCCCCTACCTCAAAACACACGCCTTCCTCTTTCCAGAATACCCGGTACTACTAAGCTTAACAGTGCACGCAGCGTAGTGTATGATATTAGTTAAAACTTATGGCTAAATGTGAAGATAGTTTAGACACCAGACGGAACTATGTAACAAAATTACACAAGGAAAGTTATAGTTAGCAACCGAGTTATTAACAGAATGAATGAAATGGGGTTTAGCGTCTTACTTTTCGGCTAATGAAGACGGTCACACACCATGCAGTGTGCTATGAGGGACATTTTGCATGGACACCTTTTTTTTGTCAAACCCTCCGTCCTGCACCACCTATAACGGGAAACTAGACTCAAAATCACGAGGAACCTCTGTGGTTCCCCAGAAACACCAGAAGACTAATTTTGATGATGTAGATCCCAACGAATAGGTCTAGTACTTACTCATTTATATATGACTGAGCTTTGCTTAGCTGTTTAAACATAGGCGTATCGTACAAATTGTAGAGCGGTAGACTTCCCATCTCTGATTGTGTTGCCATTAATACATCATTTACTGAGTTTATAAACTGTTCGGCCTCACTACCGGGTTTACTGTTAATCTCTAGAGCACCCAGACGCTTGTTGAAACACACCACAGCAATACCTGCAAAAGTCAGACCGTAAAATGAATGTTTATATAGATTATTTTGTAGATACAATGGTATCGATCCAATCTTAGATTACGTCAAGCTAAGTATATACATATCCTCAGACAGCACGATTGCGGGAAGGATCAAATGCTTGACCAAAGGACTGCATGGTTTACTCAAAGCTCGCCTTTCCTCAAATAAAAAGGCAGGTATAGGGAAAAGCGAGGCTTAAGTCCACAAAAGAACTTCAGGCGATCACTCGCACTCCCCATCTCCTTTAGCGTACGCTGCTTCAGTAAAGAATGAACGATGGCTAAAACTGGGCAAAACAGTTGCAAATATACAAATGCAACATGTAGCTTACAATATATTTAAAGAATTTATGGGACTTACTTTCCGTGGCATATCTGTACAAGTCGGACAACAAATCCTCAACAATGTCCTCTTTGTTCCGGGTATGTCGTAAGAATGTTATGAAGTCATCTGCTACTGGATTTTGTCCGGGAAGATATGTTCGAACAGATTTAGGTTTAGCTATTTTTCCCTGAATTTTACTTCTCTTTTTTTGCCAACTTTCACCCGAGCTACAAAAACCGGAAAATTAAGATTAGTGAGGTAAAATATAAATAATATGCCTTACAATCATGATTCTAATTTGAATACGATGTCTATTTAAGCCACTCTACAGAGTTAATTATGCCCGTTGTGCCAACTGAGGTCGTCTACAATTATTATACGGCACACGAAATTTTTCGATTTTTTCCGCGACATACTTTGTACCTTTTGAAGTAAATTGAAGCTACACTATGTCGAAATGGGAGAATCGCCGTTTTGAATGATCATTTGATAGCACAGAGTCAAGCGTATTCATCAGAAATTGCCTACATATCAGCTAACGTACAATTGCTTTGGCCATTGGCCGTTTGATTAGACACATTTTTAAATAAAATTATGATATAACATTGGTCACTGCATATATAAATGAACGGATAACTTGGCCTTGCTTTGTGCACGGCACACTTTACTCATTATAGCTAACTAGAGGAAATGTTTGGATTTCAGAAGCCAGAGCTACTAGTATATAACTTGGGGAATACAGACCACAAACGGATTCCCTTTCGGAGTAATGTAAGTCAGAGGTGGGAACAAGTCGCTGGACCTTGAGCCTGAGTCGAGTCTCAAGTCGCCGCACCTCGAGTCTGAGTCGAGTCCCAAGTCGCTGAATTTAGTACCGAGTCGAGTCGAGTCGGGTCCCAAGTCTTCACAAAGCCCGACCTCCCATTTAAGTCACCAGTTCATCAAATGAGACAGCAATTCATGGCGAATAAGGTAAGTTAGAGTTATGCACCCTCGCCGCGACTCCAGTCCAAAGCTCTTTCAAGTCGCGAGTCGTCACGACTGCCGTGTCCGAGTCGCGTCGCAATATACATTTTAAGTCGAGTCGCAAGTCGGGTCATTGATGTGACGTAAGTCGGACTCGAGTCCGAGTTGCAGGACTCGAGTTCCCACTTCTGCTGTAAGTACTGAGTATAACACAAATGTTTCAGATCACAACTAACTATATGAATACGGCACATTTATAAAGCTTGTTAGATCTAAAGTAAACTTAAGTTCGGTAAAATATAAAATGCAGAATATAAAGCGAATAACGAATTGAAAACATCTGATTTTAATGGGGTAAAAGAAGAACTAAAATACCTTGTGATAATGCCATGTACCCCATCGTTATATTTATTGTTAAAACGTCTCAACATGAAAAATGAATCCCGGGTTGGGTATTTCCCTTCGTTCCGGAACACCTCAAGAAAATCATCTGGGTTATACAAATGAACAATGTGGAGCCCTCCTGGAACAGCTTCATGCACTACATCACCATACAGCTCTTGTAGTTTTGCTAATTTATCATACCATGGCATACCATATAATTGACCTGGAAAAGAGTAAACAATTTGTAAGAAAATCAGAGAAGCCCCAACTCCGTCACTTAACGATGCTGTGCGAAGTGCCCACTGGTGATCGATAAAAGAAACTAGTAACTGCAATCAACACTATCAATAAGATATTCTATAGATTAGTACCGCGGTTCGTTGAGTATGAAATGATGTTTTACCAACCGAACAGTTAGGCGTATCGTCCTTGCCAGCACCCCCCACCCCCAGCATCTTTATTTGTGATATAATGTTGATGCCAACAAGATTGTAATAGTTGATCACATTGCAGCAAGGCATACATAGAAACATACTGATTATATGATAGAAATGAGATGCACGTAGAATAAACTCAGTAGAATGTACAGGTATTGTACGGTTCGATATTCAAAGTTTCGAAATAGAAAGCTTCGAGACAAAAATGTATGCTGACTAACAAACGCTAACTTATAAAAGTTGTAAAATTCCGAGGAATCATTTGAATTATTTGAACTGGCTGTAGTATTCAATGCATTTAAATTATTTTCGCTTAAGAAAAGGATATATTTAGAAGTTCCAAAACCAATCCAAGGGCGCCATTAGATGTAATTTTGACATTGTTTTCCTGTTAATAACTGCAATGCCCTAGTTGAATGATCTAATAGCTACTCTGTAATTTGTATGACAAATTGTTTCAATGTCATGTAATAATTGAACTGGAAGTACACCGGACAGAATTCCAGTGAAAGCAATTATTACTGTTTATTACCGAGCAACGTCTCGACTAGAATTCTCGATTCTTTATCTCTGCCTGAAAAAAGACTAGGCAATGCTAGTCGAAACGTCGCTCGATGACAAACAGTGATTGTATTCCACAGAATCGTTTCCTATTATGTCACTTGGAATTTAAAAGAAGCTAAATCAAAAAAAGTTTTAAATTGGGATGGTTGATGAGCTGTACATTAAATTATTTTTTCGAAATATTAAATTTGTTTACTTAGTTTAGTTTGGTTTCTAAATAAAGTCGACAGTAGATCAAAAGCAGCTACATCTTAATATTAGAGACTTTTGGCAAGCGGAACTTTTCCCATCCGTATCGACAGGTGATACGTTGCGTCAATGCAGTTTTAGAGTTTTGGTAGCTTTTCGCGCCGTGTGCGTATGCGTAGCTGAGCTGAGCTTAGTTCTATTAGAAAACGATGGCAGTTATCTACCAAGATCCCCATCAGTACTAGTCAAGTGCAAACCTACAAATTAGTAAAAAGGACTGTAAAAAGACGACGATGTTATACGGGCCTTTTCCGTATAAAAGCTGTTCGATACGTGCTGCCGTCACTCGGCAAACCTCACCAGATTCCAGTACCCTACATCTAATCTCGGCTGTATGACAAAGTCCGCCATTAGAACTACTTTCAAGTTCCCGGATTACAATGGCGTTGTCCATGACGACCAATGACGACGTATTTGAAGAATGTTTTATCTTACAAAATTTTCAAAGTTTGAAGCTGTTTTTCTTTCAAGTTTATCCGATTTTCTTTAGACAAGGACAAATTTGCACTGAAAATTCTACACACTCTTCGAACGACGCAATTTTGAGAACTTCTTTCTAAACGTGGGCAAGTTTCCCTTATAAGTAAACCGGTGCCGCATCGCAAATGTATAGGCGTAGATACATATCACTTACTGTCATACAGCCGAGGCTAGATGTAGGGTACCGGAATCTGCCGAGGTTTGCCGAGTGGTGCTGCCGTATCACGTATGAGAAATACACACACATCAATGACGTCATACGCAAAATCGATACGCATACGCGATACGGACGAGGCATTTATGCTTGTCAAAAGTCTCTAAGAAGTCTATAGGTGGACGTACCAGTTTAAATATAGGCAGATACTCAGCAAATCAATACATTAATCGTAATCAAATCGGCACCGTGTAATTTTTACCCCCAAACTGGTCATATTAAAATTACTTACCTCCTGGGAAATACTGATACATAGTTCCAATAAGCGGAAATGGTTGAGGCCCTGGGATAGCCGCTAGACCGCGGGTAATCTGAGCTGGTGGGATGACATCTATAGAAGGTGCATTGAATGAAGCGTCGGCAACTGCCGGTTGGAAAGGACATTTTGATAATTGTGTGCTCGTCGTCGCATCATAAGTACATCTTGACACGGCAGTGACATCTGCTGAAGTGTCGTAAACACGTCGTGATAATGATTTAACATTGGTACCAACGGCACGGAGGAGTTGTCGTTTTCCAGACATGGTTCTTTAATCTGAAAAAAGAAAATATAAAAGCTTTCATAAGAATGCACCCTACCTATTACATAAAAATGTAGGCACTTATAATTAGCTTGGTCCTACACCCTAGACCGAATTATCCACTAACAAGGTGGTTTGAAGTTCGATTCCGGTGTTGGTCGAAAAGATTCCTCGGGATTTTCCGACGTGGTTTCCCCTAGGCAATGGTGCAGGACGAAGGGTCTGAAAGGAACAGTGTCTAGTCGTTCGGTGGAACGTAGAACCGAGAAACCGTGAACAAATTGGCATACACGTAAGCGTACCCCTGACAGTGCAGAAAAGTGGGACGTTAAACCCCATTTCATTTCTCAATCAGAAGGTAAACACGACGCTCAACACCACGTTTGTGTCATTCTTTTAACTCAATAAATATTAAATAAGACCATAATATTATATTTTCACTAATAACATACAGAAAGTAAGTATTGCTGGGAGCTACCCTATATTAAAAGTAAGAATAAAAACCTATACATATACGATAAATATCAATATCCTCTTAAGAAACATAAAACTTTAATCAATGTGACATATTAATCTATTTTATTTGTTCATTAAACCTTAAAGTTATTACGTTAATAATGTTGTTATTGGAAACGTAAATAAATGTACGATTTCATGAAATATTCAAGATAATTATCAACTGACATTATCAACATTATATACTCGGGTATCTTGATATTTGCCATTAAAATATACTAATGTGTAACATTAGAATATTACGTTTCGCAAACCTAACCTCATTGATTTGGATTGTACAATTTTAACCACAAACTAGCAAATGATCAACAAGTGGATAATAATATCTACCGTAGGTCATATGAGTAATCTGTATTAGAAAGAAGAATCGAATTACTGAAAAATGGTACATTTCAAATACAGATTAATCATATGGACATTACCCTATCAGTCTCTAATCTGTACAAGTTTTAGAGTGCAATGGTGCTAATATTTTAAACGAATAAAGTATTTTTGTGAAGTTTGAACATGATTGAGTTATTTTTACCTATTTTAGACACCAGGCTTTCGCATTGAAACACTTTGTTGTATCAGGTGTAAGCATACCTTGACTCATGCACGCAATCCGTCAGTACTTAAATTTATTGGAGTAGTGGTTGAGACGTGAACTCCTAAAAAGAATTGGTAGCAAGCATTCTAGAAAGAGAATTCCACCCCAACGAAACGCAATTAAGTGGTTTCTGCAATACATGAGATGGATATTCTGTTCTGTTATAAATTAAGTTTGCAAATATACAAAAACAATTGTTTATAAAACAAAATTTATGTAAATGAAATGGGGTTTAACGTCCTACTGTTCTGCTCCGAACTGGGCTAATGAAGACGGGCATATGCCATACAGTGTGCTATGAGGGAAATTTTGCCCGGACAGCGGCACTACGACCTACTCTTATATCGAATTCCAACTGTCAAGGGATCTTTTACGTGCACGCAAATGTGTACACGGGACCTCGGTTTTTCGTCCCATCCGAACGACTAGACAGCTTTCCTTGTCAGCCCCTCCGTCCTGCATCACTGACAAGGGAGTAAAAACATTCGGACTATATATCTATATAAATTTACGCGCGAACTTATTTTTGGGCATGCGCACAGCTTCAAGCAATAGGGGCTCGAACTGATAATTATTTAATCAAAATGGCAGGCTAGATATTGGATATTTCCTTACGACAACCAGTGGTTCATAGGTATAAGGCGTCATTCTTAAGCACGTAAAGTTAAAAGTGATGATAAAGTCATCTTATACCATACGCCTTTTTTATGTTTTCGATTTCTTCTTACTATTCTTCGACTCAATATTATATTATTAAGTGTTGGGGGTTTTTTTTTCGGTTTCTTTGGGGGTTTTTTTTGAAGACAAAAGTCGCGAGCGGCCGTTTTAATCTCCCAATTCCATTCCGCTCGCATATAGACTTAAGACTATAAATATCGCGACTTGGATTTATTTGAAAGTAATGTGAAGTTCTAGAAAGAGAACGCACATCATGACCAATGCACGCTTTCTGTATCACGACTTGATCGAATTTAATGTTTATAACAATGTACTTTTCGGCAAGATATTGTACAAGTTTTTATCACCCTTTTAGTATGAAATATAAGACCTTTAAGTCGGTGACATAATTAACATATACAAAAAACAGATTTTTTTTTTAATGGTGGACTATCCAACTTTTGCTCTACTTTTAAATATAAAATATTATGTTGGTTGGTATTTTAAGTCGGTAAAGTACATGATTACACCGTCTGTTTGCTTTGATAGTTTTTAATAAAGGGCTAATTTAAAATATAAGACCTAATGTATCATAAACGCCAAGTGTGGTCGACAATTACAAACCTCAAAACAGTGCACATGTACCCGGCTTCACTAATTCATCACACAAGTTTTACAAGGTTTTGTTTAATCTAAAAATATTGTAATGTGTTTTTTGTTTGTAATACGAGAGTTCGCCATATAAAAAATGTGAATTATTTTGTAAAACTTTCAGTATGCATTTTATAATCGGTTTGTTATTTCAACATGCACCCATCTGGTTAGTAGAGATTGAACTCGCTTGATAAGTGTATATTGTTTCCAAAAAGGAACCGCTTTAAATCCGGTCATGACCCAGGATGAACATGATGCGAATGTAGTAAGATAATACGTATATATCTTTCACAATCTTTGACACGTCATTCTGAGCACACAATACTGTATTAGTTTCAAGGTTTAAGTTGTTTTTAAACATAAACATTCTATCCTTGGGAACATTTTGGCGATTCTACTGTCGTAAAAGCCTAGAGTAGTCACCCTAGCGCGTGTTCCAAGTGATCCAATTGGGACGAAATAAAATGAAATCAAATGGGGTTTAACGTACTACTGTTCTGCTGCGACTGAGCTAACGAAGACGGGCATACGCCATACAGGGAAATTTTGCCCGGACAGCGGCGCTACGGCCTACTCTTAAATCGAATTCCAACTGCCAAGGGATATTTTACGTGCACGCCAATGTGTACACAGGACCTCGGTTTTCGTCCCATCTGAACGACTACACAGCACTCCGCCCTGCACCACTGTCAGGCCCTCTTCCTGCATCACTGACAAGGGGAAACCACGCCGGAAAATCTCGATCAAATTTCTCGGCCAACACCGGGAGCGAACCCGCGACCTCCAGGCTAATGAGCCAGCGTCTTACTCGCTTAGCCAAACCAATTGGGACGATAATGAACCGGGCTATTTAGTACTGGAAGCGTGTTAATAATCAGTGAACTTTGGCTTCAATATTAGTTTTATACCGTATCTATGGTCTATAACTCACTTTAAAAAAAAGTTCGAATAGTCTAATCTTCATATCAGTAAAGAACACGCCGAGGTAAAATTTAATGGACCTACATATTGGTGGAAATGATATTTTTCATAAGGAATTAGTGATTGACGAGAATCGGAAGCATAGAGCATTGGTCTATAAAAGAACTAGTTCAATATTTCCAAATCAGTGGTTCGACTCCTTAACCATGCTCAAAAAGTGATTTACCTCCCTTGATTATCGTTCTTTCTATCTATCGTTTCGGTAAAATAAATCGTGGAAAACGATATATCAAACCAGTTGGTGTATCAGAAAAAAACCCAACATATAACCAAATTGCTAAGAATTACTTTTTTTTAAAAAAAATGTGTCATAGTTGGCTTTGCCCCCGGTATAAATAAAAAATATGTTGCCAGGCAACGAAACATACGCCAACAGCTGCTAAATTGTCCGGGCAGTCAACAAGAGTTGTCGCATATTTGTACTTTTGTCGGTAATGAAACATTTATAATACACTAAAATCTGATTAAGAATAACAACTCATTAAGTAATTATCAGAAAATCATTAGAATGTATTTGGCCCATGCTAACGTTTAGTATACAAAACATTTACTATCATGGATTTAGCTGTTCAAGTTATCAAAAATCATTGAAAATCAATATACTTTTTCATCTCAAGACCTTAAATTCTGTGTATCAATCTAAAGTCAATCGAAACGATTATATATAGGCGTAAACATGGTGTATAAATATAAATCAATCAGATGATAACTATGGTCTCTAAAGTATCCACAAGATTTTCAAAGTGATCAAGGGCCATAACTCTGGCAGTAATTATGACCATAAACACTGTGTATAAATTTAAAGTCAATCGGATATTAACTTAGCCGATGGACTGACGGACGGGCGACGACAATATACGATCACATTTCAATGGGCGTATAAAAGCCTTCACAATGAATGCGTTAAAAAATCAGACATTAGGCCTATTATTAGAATCATTTCTAATGTAGCTTTAACAAATCGTTGTTTTTTTAAACGGTTATACCTTCTCGAATATTACTAACTTGTTATTAAAATATTCACATGTAAAAAAGAAGCGTATAATCAGAATGGGCAACATTGTTTTGGCCCACCTGTACACTGTGTTCGAAATATTAATTTATGGTAGCTCCAATCAGTATTGAGTTTTGCTACAAATGATACATTTTCATAAATACCAATCACTTTAATTCTAACACAGTATGAATCACAAACTTACACCTAAAAGGAAAACATTTCTTGCTATTTTATGATCTATTTGAGAAATAAAAAGAACAAAACCAAATCATTCTGACTTAAAAATTACGTTAAGCCAGCTACGCAAGAATACCTCGTTTGTATCCATGAACATCATCCTGGTTTTTTTTTTTTTTTTTTTTTTTTTTTTTGCTTTAATCGCCTGGAATACTATTTAAAGAACACATTCTAGTCTTTCAATTTGCAAAATTCAAATTCGAAAAATAACTTTACTATTGTTATTTGTTTGGGTTTTTTTTAAAAAAAAATTAACTAAATATTTAAACGTATATCTTATATATTTGTAAAAATACACGATTTATCACCAGTAAAATCCATATTGAAATAAAATGTTCAATATGTTTTTATTTTAGGTTCATATCATAAATTCAAATTTTCTA